CATCAAAAAATTTAAGTTCTCTTTTTTTAGAATAGTAAAATGTTTATGTAAAAAGTTGTGTCCTTATTAAGTTTTTGAGATAATAAGAAATCTTTCTTCAAGGAGTGGTTTACTAAAGAGCTTAATTTTGAATCAATTTGAAAAATGGAAAAACAAAATAACATAAACGATGAATTTGATCGATTTTCTCAAAGGGGAAAATAGAAAATTTAAGACATCTTTGACAATAAAAGTGATTTTAAAGAATGCAACGTTACTAAAAAAGATAGAATAAATACGAAATTATTACTATTATTTTCATTTTTCAATGAAATATTGAATTGTGTCAGGTGAAATGAATGACAATTGACTATAAAAATGTGACGTTTGATAGTTTATGTTGCCAACTTAATTTTATTGTTTTGCACCGATTCCAAGAACAAATTATCCATTGCCTATTGTTAATTTATGAGGTTATCTGCAATGTTAAAATAATTAAATTATTAAAAACCTTTCTCTCTAATTTATTTATGTTTTGTTCATTTGCTAGATTTGATGATGGTATTGATGACGATTTTTCAATAGAAAAACGTGCAAGGACTGTTGTTTCTGAAAGTTGTACTTGAGCCATTACTCACTGATGATAAAACGAAGAATTCTGCAATGCCCATAACTTATTATTCAGCGATGATGATAACCTATGGTTGGCTTCAAAATTAAACATGGAAATTACGCATATAATTACACAATAATATACGTAATATATGGAGATTCCTCGCGTTTTCCGACTTACAATACCTAATTCTGCAGCTTTACCGTTAGTGTGCATCTATAGCTTGAAATATGTTGGATTAAATGATTAAATAAAACATGGAATTCCTTTAAATATGAGAGTTATAAGCCAGTTTACGTTTTATTTGCATTCCCTTTGGTACCTTATATTAATAACAGCTGTTGAAAATTTATATCACCGGGAATTTTTTTGAAAATCCTATAGTTAGTGAAATTTTGAGGTGACTTGAGATAATCATCGATCGTAATCAAATAACTGGTTTTTTTAAACCAGTCTGGCAGATTCAAGTTCAAATTTTATCACTTTGTTTCACGTCTTTCTGCAAAATTACAAACAGTTCTTGGTTCTTGCAAAAATATTGCCAGCATTTCTAATTAAACAGACCTGTGACTTTGAAATTATGTTGGCAGTACTGAACTAGTAAATAATATAAAGACAAAAAACATGCAAAATCATTTCATTTTATTTCATGCTATGTTGACTATAAAATTGTGACATTTGAGTTGACAGTCAATGTTGCTAAATGTTGTCAAAAATTAAATTCACCAGAAAAGGATTGCTAGACTTACACCTATTTTTATTAGATTATTACTATGATGTCAAAGGCTTACGTGTTTTACATGATTCTTGCAAATCTGCTCAAAAACGTGCTGAAACAGCAAAAATTACACTATTTTCGTTTTTTTTTCTGTTATTTTTTAGCTTGTGTTTAACGAAATTTTGCGAAATATTTACGTTGTTACTTGAAAACATGCTGAAAAAGACAAAAATAATGACTTAAAAAAAGGTGAAATATTATAATTATATTTCTTATTTATTTTTTATTTTTATTAAAAACTAGCTAAATTAAATAAAACAAACGAAGTAGCGTTAATTTAGATTTATATTAGTACCTAATTTTTAGGCATGTTTTGCAAAATAAATTGTTCAAAAATAAAATAAATTAGCGAAACAAGCTAAAATAACATCGATTTTAATTTAATTTGATAATTTTGCAGTCAGTTTTAGCAAAACTTTGTAGGTATTTCAAAAACATACTTAAATACTCAAAAAATGCAAAAATAACACAAAAACACAATAATGTACTTTTTGACAATGTTGAGTGAAATTTTATAAAAAAACACATGTGTATATTTTAATTTTAATTCGGTGATTTTTCGACTTATATTTGAAAAAAATTGGCAAAATAATTGAGTTTCAGGCTAAAAAACGCAGAAAAAATAGTGCCATTATTTTTGACCTATACTTGTTTTCATATTAATGTGCATCGAAGTAGTCGTTGAAAGGGATACTTATATACGGTGGCAACCATTTAAAAAATTAAACAATCCTAACCTCAATCTTTCTTAATTTTTTTTTTGAATGTGGTCCCCAGATCACAAAAAATAATTAAAATTAACAAGGTAATTAACAAAAGGTAGCAAACTTTATTGATGTGATTAAATTTGTTCTGAATGACCTCAATGACACTTTTTGTGTGAATCTGCCTTTAATTTAAAGATGCATTTAGACTTCTACAACCTACTTGATGCACAGTAAAATGAAAAAGACTATAGTTTACTATACCAATAATTAATAAATTAAAATTTGTTTCTTAGCGATTGCACAATAACGTCAATTTTACTAAATGTTTAACCGAATACTCGATTAAAAAAAAGTGTTCTAAAAATATTAGTTTTCTAGTCCATCTGCAGTTACATTTCTAAAAAATCATCAGATATTAGAATTTTAGAATTTTTACAAAAGTTTTCACCAAATCACTAGATTAGCATAAAAATCACCATATTTGGTGAAATTTTACCAGACTTGGTAGCACTGAATTAAAATTTTATATATGTGCTTGTCTGATGTCAAAAATAAAGTTATTTGGACAAACGCTAACTTCTATCTCTAACATTATTCAGTGTTGCCAACTCAAATTCCGACTTGTAAATGTGGACCAGCTTTTCTATTAATTTTCGTATAAAAAATAGTCAAATGATGTTGAAAACTCGTTCCACAATACGATCAATAAAATACAGTTATAAACGTTTGAGTTCAATAAAACAGCCGTGCAATAATTCGTTTAAATTATTTGCTTGCTGACACAGGAAATTTATATCAACAATTAGATTTGTAACAACATGTAGGTAAATTGCGCGGTAAATAATTTTTAATACATTGTATGCAAATCACCCTTAAATCATACAAGACATTGTTGTAAAAACCGAGTGCGTTAACCCTATAATTTGCAATTTTCGGAACCCAATTGTAATAAATTAACTCGCAATTCGGTGTAGAGATACAATCGGTGAAACCACACTTTTTATGAATTTTCTGCCGGGAAGCCATCGAGAGTCGTGCTAATTATACCTCATGTGATATATCTGCTCTATCGTGACAATAATATTCCGATGGTAGATCAAGTTGCAAATAGGGCGTGCAACGCGGTAGAAAGTAGAAAATCCTTTATGACTTTACGTAATAATTGTGCACCAACAATAAGGATGATAAAAAGCAAAGTCTTTAGCCACCGTCGACTATTCATCGCCTGTAGAAAATATCGATTGCGCAAGCTACTTACAACAATAATTAGATTGAAATGGAACGTTTTTTTCGTAAACTGCTCCCATCATCGCAATAATCTTCGGAGTATAAAAGAGAACAATCGTTTCTTGCGGCGATGATTTTTACAGCTCCTTCTCTTTTGTTACTTAACGCGTTTGTTATTTAACTATTTATTATATGGGCTTTGATGTATGTAGCTCACGAAACCTGTAATTAACGCTAAAACAACTAACGTGCTTGATTAAAATCTGCCTTGCAATTGTTAATAAACAAGAATTGTGGTAAATGACTTGAAGAGCATTTATCATGTCGCCAGTTTTTCAACTCAATAATTTGCATTCAAAAAACTTTAAAATCTTATTAAGTGTCATAATTTAACAGAAAGGATTTTAATCTTAACAGTCACGTTTTTCTATTAATTTTTTCGAGCAGATGCTGGAACAACCGCAAACCCATTAAATTTCAACACTTACAGATTTGCTGAAGACCAGATTAAATCCTCAAGATTAATATTTAAATCGTGCCTGAAATACCAGTAGAATATTCTAATTAAGAAGTAATAAAAAATGGATAAAATATGATTTTACTCCTTGTCAACAAATCAAAAAATTATGATTTATAATAAACAATTCTTGTAACATTATTTAAATAAAATCTATTGTTTTTTTATTATGATGACTCAACTTTGTGTTTTGATGCCCACTACAAGAAATCATTATGTATTGTGCAACGTGCTAGTAAATTTATAAAATAGGTGGTTTGTAATTTAAGATTATCTATGGACTATTGTTTTGAAATAATTGATGTTTGGTAAAATTGGATTTAATTGGTGTATATTTGGTTGCCTGCCATAAACATTTTAACATATTATTATTACTTTTTATAACAAAATGATATACAAATTTATATGGTGTGTTTTTTATTTAAATTTTTAAGTACTAAAATAAAATTGTTGTAATTATTTAATTGATTAACGTTCTCTTGTCATTAATTTTAACTTAGAGTAAGGTTGGTTGCATAACAACTCAGTTCACTTCAGAAAATCCCAAAATGATTTTTTTAACAGAGTTTTGATGCCAACTACAACAGTTTATTGTGCAACATGCTAGTAACTTAAAAAAAAGCGGTTTGCAATTGTTTGAGATTATCTATGGACTATTGTTTTGAAATAATTGTCTTTATTTTGCTGTTTGATAAAATGGTATTTAATTGGTGTATATTTGGTTGCCTGCAATAAACATTTTAACATTTTAATATTACTTTTTTTTTCTTTTACTTAAATTTTTAGATACTGAAATAAAATTGTCAAAATTCTTTGATTGATTAACGTTCTCTTGTCATTGATTTTAATTTAAAGTAAAGTTGGTTGCATAACATCTCGGTTTGTTTCAGAGAATCCTAGTGTAAATTTTTTTTTCATGATTACGATACTAAAGATAAATAAAAAGCTGTTTTTACGAAGACAAGATATAGTTTATTTATATACATGTAATATAATTGTGACACCAACTTTCGATGAAATAAGAAACAATGTACACATCTGCTATATTTTCTCTAATTTAAAAACATTTAATGCGTCAGTCAAAAGTGAGTTTGCTTAGTCGAATCGTATAATAAATTAGTGCCAAAGTTTAATAAAATCTACAAAATATCGAAATTTCTCCTATGGTGCGTATTTTCGTTTATTTTACAAAACATTTCGTTGAAAACATTAAGGATAACAACACTTAGTTTTTATACATATCGCATAGAACCTTCTCCATGGGAGTATTTCCTATGGTTTTTTGAAAAAACACAGCTTCTACCCTGGCCGCGGGTACTATCCGCAGCAGAGGCAACATCAAAAGGAGTCGCCCGAACCTCGCGACTTGACCCGGAAGTTGGGTTCTGCAGTGTTGCCACAACATGACTTGAGCTTGGTCCTGGAGATTTTCAATTTGGCTTGGGTCTTTCAGTCCTCTCGTTTCTGAAAACTGAGTTGAAAACTTCATTTTTGTGCAAACGAAAATAGACCTGATCTGAAAAGTACGATAGCTTTCAGGCATGCAAATTCGGCCGGATCGACATGTATGGCTTTAAAACGCATTAAAGTGTCGGCCAAAATTCGCACATCGGTGGCGGAATGGCCGTTTTTGACGTGTTCGTTTATGTTGAAAAGGGGGCTGGCGGAAACGTCCAAGGGCATGCACCACTGGATGGCGTTTAGAAGGAACAATTCGCTCCAAGCCTCCTCCAATAAAATCACCTAGAAGAGTGGGTTGTGTTACAATTTCTTTTAGTTGGAAAGGGTTTTTACTTGATCGCGGAATGGTAAACTGGCGAAACTGGGCAAGTTTTTGGCCCATTTTACTGCCATGAAGAGGAGTCTGGCTGAGGTTTCGTAGATGGTTTCGTGGGATGAGGGGTACAATCCTGCTGTTAGGCCAGTCGCAGGTTGAGGTTCGGGTCGTAGGGGGCCGCTACTGGAGGAAACTCCACAGCCGGAACTTGGAGTATCTTCTTCTTCGTTGGTGACATCTATACTTTCTTCTAAAATTTCATAAAGCATTACTTGTGGTCAATCACAATGAATAAAATTCACACAAATTTGACATTGTGACATAGTATTAGGCCCGTAGTCAGCGAGGGGGCGACAGGATGTTTATTTTTTCCTCCCCCTCTGTGAAAAACCCTGCCACACTTAAGGGAATTATAAAAAACGAAACTTTCGACCTCTAGTTTTAAAAACAGAAGATGTATAACGGGAATAACAATAAAAGAAATTGCTTACAAATCAGTATTTATAAAAAAATTATTAATGTTTTTTACTTCTAAAATGCATAAACAGTAAACATGTTGTTTACAAAAACAATTCTCAATATTAAAATTTGTCAAAAATAAAGTTTTATTTAATTTTTTGCATTTTGCGAAATGCATATTTACATTGTTGTCATTATAGTTGTTATAGATTTTTCTAATACTGTGGAAGGTTTACGTTTTTTTTACATAAATCTTGCAAATCTGCTTAAAAACGTGATTAACGATCGACAAAAAAAATTACATTATTTTTGGTGTATTTCTGTATTTTTTTAGCTTGTTTTTAACTAAATTTTGCAAAATATTTTCTTTGTTTACTTGAAAAACATGGTTGATTTGATGTTTTTTGGCATATTTTAGCAAAATCTCGTATAAAAACGGAGATTTTAGTTCAAGAACAAGCTTACTTGAAAAAGGTGAAGTAACACTATTTTTGACCAAATTTTGTGTTTTCGGCTGATTTTTAGGTAATTTTTTTTCAAAAACTAGCTAAATCAAATGAAACAAACGAAATAGCATCAATTTAGTTTTATATTTGTAATCTTTAGGCATGTTTGGAAAAATAAATGGTTCAGAAACGAACTAAATTGAGCAAAACAAGATTAAATAACATTAATTTTAATTTAATTTGGTAATTTTCCAGTTAGTTTTAGCAGAACGTTGTGTATATTTTAAAATTGTAGAAATGTAAAAATATATCACTAGTTTTGGCCCATTTTGGTGAATTTTTGGTTTGATTCGGACGAAATTTTGCAAAATTGTTCTGTTTCTCATTGAAAAACTTACTAAAATACTTAATAAAGGCTAACAATGTTGTTTTTTTCGACCCAATTTAGCGATTTTTAGACTTTGTTAAGTAAAATATTATAACAGTCACATAACTATTTCCATTTTAATTTTGTGATTTTTCGACTTATTTTTTAAAAAAAATTACAAAATAATTTAGTTTCTGAAAAAATATTGACCTAATTTACCATATCAGTAATTAAAAAAATCGAATTTTACTTTTTAGCGATTGCACAATAAAGTTAATTTTTTTACAGGGTGAATATAAAGTATGGAACCAAGCGGTCTTTTTTAAATCATTGCCTTCAGAAAATAATAATTAATATAAATGAAAGTAATATAAAAAATGTAATCGTATTTTAAGAACGTTTTGTTTTGTTTTTGAGTTGAGCGACTTTTTTTGTCAAAATTGCAATTTTTGTAAAAAAAAATTGAAAATATCAAGAATAAAGTAGATAGTTGTAATGCTTAGATTATAACCTTTATGAGAAAAATGGTTGCAATTTTTTTTTGCTTACAAATTATTATTTATAAAAAAAAAATATTATTGCATTTTTCACTTTTTAAACTATACTGTAATTCTTACTTGTAAAATTTATAAACAATAAACATGTTGTTTACAAAAACAATTTTCAAAATAAGGTTAGACTTGGTATGATTTTACTGACATTCGACAAAAATAAAAAAGTTTCATTTAACTTATTTTGCATTTTTTTTTTCATTATTGATTCTTATCATAACTTTTTATTCTCTAAGTTTATGTCTGGATGTTAAGACTCATCTTGTATATATGACGTTTTTTTTAAACAGTTTTTAATTTGTTTTCAGTTTTTTCTTTCAAGAAAACAACCGCAATCTGGAATATAATTTTCCCAAAATATAGAAAAGAAATTTGGTTAAACTGCAAAAACTCGAACGAAAATTGCAATTTTCATGTTAAAATTAATCAATTAAATTAATAAACCAAAAATTAAAATTTGAGTAAAAATTATCAGGAGGAAAAAAAATGGCAACGGCACGCGGTGTTCCCAAGCGGTCACCCATCCAAGTACTGACCGCGCCCGACGTTGCTTAACTTCAGTGATCGGACGAGAACTGGTGCTTTACAACGTGGTATGGCCGTTCCCGAAAGAATATGTCATAATCAAAGTAGATAAACAAGAGAGGTAAAAGGTTTTGAAATTCACTCGTAGATAAACAAATTCTTTATTGTCTTGTATAATAAATAAATATTATTATAATAAAATTATTATTGATTTAGTACTCAAAAACACAACATGATAAAAATTGTTATTTGTTTAACAAGGCACTAAAGTTTTGAATTTTTTAAAGGAAACAGCGTTTCTATTTTTAATGTTAGACTTAATAATCTTTTTCTGCTTAAACTCTCCTAATTTTCGTGTTTTTTTTCAAATTCAAATTTCTGTTTTTAATTTTTTAAATGACTTCTCGAGCACTATCAAAATTATTTCTCGTTTTCATTATCTGTTTTTAATTATCTTTTGTTATACCGCCAACATAGATAGTTTGTAGTACTTTAGAATATTATAATCAATAATAAAAATCAATAAAATAAAAATGTGATAGCTTTAATTAAACTAGTAAATTATCAGTTTTTTTTTTTTAATATCGTTGAAACTATTGCAAATATAGCCTCTTGTGTCTAACTTTTGTTCTTCTAAGATACCAGTAGTGGACATTTAATTTTTTTTCACCCTGTATAATTATTACAAAATCAAAAATCGAATGCTTTGTATTTCATTAATTTAATTTCGAATTAAAAAGCAACATTCGACAAAGATATTGACGTCTGTACATTTTATTCTCCCCATCGTCGTAACGTAATTTAAAGTACCCGATTCTAAATTTATTTAAATTGAATTTATTAATTTAGGGTTTCCACCCTTCAGTGCATGCTTGAAGTTAGAATCGTTTTTAAACGCGTTCTCTCTCTTCTAGATCGTCCAATGTCCCTAAAGAATAATTAGTAACATGACGTCAGGGCCGCTAATCCGCTCTTCGCCATTAGCTATGTGAACGAATTTAAACAGATAACGACTTGTAATACATATTGGAGTATTATTTTATATTTAATGAGAAAATTAAATTCTTAAATTAACACACCTACCATCGTTGTCACTGTTGTCTTTTGTGGGGGTGGGTTCTCTATTGGGAAGCGTCGGCGGCGGCACCGAGGGCAGTAAATTGTGCGAATATCGGGCAGATGTCAGAGCCATGGTCAGGGGAACCGGAGGTCTGCAACATTTTTTTACATTTTCTTACAAATAATTAAAATTATTTTCAATTTTTTTTTCCTGAGAAATAAATGATCATAAAAATTTTAGTTCAAAGGGGGCTATTGCTTTGAAATTAAGTTGGCAACGTTAAAAAAAATTTGGCAACACTGCATTATTAGCAATCCTCGATAAAATTTTTGGCCTACTAGATACAATATACCATAATATATTGTCACTGATTTGTGCCAACTTAATTTCAGGGCTACAGACGATTTTTATTATAGTACATAATACAAAGTGGTTATAAATAATTTACATCTAGCTAGCTGTGAATTTTCCATGTAAAATAAAAAATGCCGCTTTACGAAAATAGGGGTACCTACTTGTTTTAACTCAAAATTAAAAAATCGCCGTTTACTAAGCGTCCACTTCGAACATAGACTTCAATTTTAAACTTGTTGTTTTCCATAGTATACATTCTTATCAATTATTATTGTAAATTAGTTGAAGCAATAAAAGTTTAATTAACAACAATTTATTATTAATTAATAAGTGACACTAATGACAGAACTAGAGCTTTCAAAAAAAAGTAGGGCGGCACAAATAAAGTTACATGCAAAAACAATTCTAAAGCTGGCTAGATGAAAATCATTTATAACCACTCGGTATTAATATAATATAAATAAAATAATTTTTAGAGCTGCAATTTTTCATAAAAAATACAATCAAAATAGGTAATATTTTTGTAAAAATTTGACATAATTTTATTACGTTTAATTAAATGTAAGGTCAAAAATGGGCTATGGCCAGTGTTGCTAGATCAAAATCATAAAATTCACCAGATCCGAGTTGAAAAATTTATATGGCAAAATCTCGCAAAAAACGCAGTTTTCAGCTTAAAAATCTGCTTAAACTCCTGGAAAAAAAAAACAAAAATGACATGCTTTTCGGCCTAATTCTGTCATTTTTCGACTTGTTTTCAACAAAATTTTGGGAAATAATTGCGGAAAACGTGCTAAAACGCTCGAGGAATGCAAAAATAATTTATCTCTCTACTTAATTTCTTGATTATTTAGTTTATTTTAGCGAAATCTAGCGAAAAACCTGAAATTTTAGTAGAAAAACGTGCATAAAAGCATTTTCGGCTAAATTTTGTGGTTTCTCGGCTTATTTTTTGTCAAAACCAGTTTCAATGCAGTATTTCGAACTTGTGTGTTTTTATTTTTCGACAACATCCTTAAACACTCATAAATACAAAAACGCCGTTTTTGGGCGATTTTATTGAATTTGTGGCTTGTTTTTGGAAAAATTGTGCAAAATAATTGTGTTTCTAGCTGGAAAAGCATTCGAAATAATTAAAATAAGTTGTCATTTTCAACTCTGTTTAGAAATATCTTGTAAAAAACAAATAGAACTATTTTAAACCAATTTGGTGGTTTTCGATTATTTTTTCTTCGACAAAATAATCAATTAGGTAAAAATATCATAATATAATCTTTTTTATAACAATTTAGTGATTTTTGACACGCAAACTCTCATGAAAGAGTTTTCATCTTAAAAATCTGCTTGAACTTTCCAAAAAGAAAAAAAAATATCAATTTCGGCCTAATTCTGTGTTTTTTTGGCTCGTTTCTTGCTGAAAAACATGCTAAAACTCTCAATAAATGCAAAATTAATATAATTTTCGACTTAATGTTGATTTTTGAGTTCGTTTTAGCAAAATTTTAAAAACCTGAGATTGTAGTACAAAAACGTATTTAAAAACATTCTCGGCTTATTTTTGTCTTATTTCGCTCAAAAACCAGTTAAATCGAGTGAAACAAATAAAATAACATCAATATCAATTGTGATTCTTAAACGTGTTTAGACAAGATTTTACAAAATAAATGAGCCTCTGGTTCATAAACCAAGTAAGTCGAGCCAAATAAGCTAAAAATAATATCAATTTCCATTTAATTTTGTAATTTTTTTTATGTTTCAACGAAATTTTTAGGATGCACTTTGTTTTTATCTCAAAACGTGCTAAAACACTTGAAAAGGCCAAAGTAACGCCGTTTTTTGTCGCATTTGTTGAATTTTTGGATTGTTTTTAACGAAATTTTGCGATATAATTGTGTTTCTAGCTAAAAAAGTATTCGAATAAGACAAAAATTAATTGTCATTTTCGATCTTGTAACCTTATAAAAAACAAACAGAAGAATTTTTTACCAATTTGGTGGTTTTTTGAAAAAACTTGACGAAACAATCAAGTTTCTGGTTGAAAACGTGGACAATGCTCGAAAAACAGTTTTTTCATTTCCAAAAAATCACCAGATATTAGGATTTTGACCAAAGTTTATACCACATCATCAGACCAACATGAAAATCACCAGATTTGGTAAAATTAATTTGGCAACATTCAAAAAAATTATTGGCAATACTGAATAATTAGCGATTTTTAATCAAATTTTTCGCCTGCCTGACACAAATTACAATAATGATACCGTCACTTATATTGCCAACTGAATTTCAGAGTCATAGACGACTCTGATCTAAATTCGTTTGTTTTGTATAAATATTTTTTTAGGGTTTTGATTTTAAAAATACTAAGACATAGATCCAAAAATAGATCATATTTCGCATTTACCGTGTCACAATACACCGATCAAAAGATTATGTATTTTCCGCGCCAAATCGAGCTGAAACTTGTCACCTTTTGTAGCTTTAACGTATGATACGTCACATCAAAAGCTTCAGCTCGATGAATTCGTGGTTCAGTGATTGTATAAATTTTCCATAAAAGTGAAAAAACTCACCCAAACACCCCCACAGCGACTGCAGCTTCTCGAAGAGCTCGCTCCTGTTCAGCGCTCATGTCTCGCAGTGTTTCCGGTCGAATGGTGGCGGTATTCCTTGGTTGCCTTTCATTTTGAACGGCTAAAATTATAACTTTTTAAGAAGATTTATCAAAGCTTAGCTTCATGTGTCGTGAAAATTATATTGACGGGTTGTGGTCGGTAAAAACGTTACCGGCGATCCTTTGTAATTGTTACGGTGGGGTGCCTATTTGCGTGCCAAATTGCCCCTTTCTGGGGCATCTCGCGCGAGCAACACGTGCTCATAAGCCACGCACGTTAAACGTATGCGAAATAATTGAGCGTTAGATTTAAATGACGACTCATTTAGGGCCTCAAATCGGAACCGCCTACGTGGAATGGGAAAAAAAAATTCATAGTGAAATTAAAGTCTTCAGTTTTCAGAAAGCAAAAATATTAAAGTTTTGGGTACAAAATTTGTTATTTCAATACTAATATAATTAATTTTTCTATGCAAGTTTTTCGAATGTGAAGAGTTCTTTTTACTGTAGAAAAATACAGAGTGCGCCAGAACGCCAGAAATTTTGACATTAATTTTTTGACATTTGACATTTTTTATGTCTATTTAATGATACTGATGTTTTTTTACAATCATTTAGTAAAGGTTCAAAAATTTTGCCAATAAAAGCCACAAATAACATTGAACAGAGTTACAATTTAGGATAGAGCTTCCTTGTTTCTTATTCTAATAGCCTGTAGCAAAAAAACTATTTCTTCAACAGAAATAAATGGAGTCAAAGTGCAAAATTTAAACTTTTCCAAACTTCCAAATTTTTATAGATAAATTTTTACCATGTTCCTGGTATCTTACCTTATATGGCATTTTTTTTTTGGGGCACGAGTTCTGGCGCACCTTGTATATTAAGTACATATCACATCATATGTACATATGATTTGAATTAAATTTAAAGTTAAAATGGTTTGTGATTTAAAAATGCAGTTGGCAACATTGACATTTAAATCCAAACACACTTTTACAGTCAATTGTCATTCATATATGAGGGGCGGTTACTGGCTTAGCCGCCTCCTGAAACAATCTGCTATTACCAATAATCTAGTGTTGCCAACTTAATTTCAAAGTCACAGACCGCTTTGATTGCAAATACATGGTATGTACAAAGAAAGAAAGGAGCATTTTTTTACAGAATCTATTGCATTTTGAAAGATAAGAATTAATTTTCTGAAATAAGAAACATTTATTTAGTAATACAATTTTGACATTTTCTACACATAAAAGTATAATTAAGTAATTAAGCAATTGATGGACACTATTATTAATTATTATTAATTGTCATTATATAAAATAATAATATGACGTCAAAATTTGGTATTTTAAACTGATAAAATTAAGATTTTGACGGTTCTTCCCATATTTTATTGACTATTTTCTCATTGAAAAAATATTTTAAAGACAGAGGATTTGGTACTTCAAATATGAGTAAATAAAGTAATATTTAGAAGAAAAGAAAAAATAACGGTAAAAGAGAATTTTTTTTAAGTAATTTTCTTGGTTTATGTAGGTTTACAAAAAAAACTTTTCTATTGAGTAAAATGCTTTTTATGTGGCAAATACGACAAAAAGTCATTAAGAAAAGTTGTTTAAAATTAAGGTCTAGGTTTTTATACCAAATTTCAAAATTATCGGCCAATTATAATTTTTCATTTTTTTTTAAGTTTTATTTCACAAATTAAAGAATGTAATTTTTAACAGTTTTTTATTATGAAAAAAAAAATGAACAAAATTTACAAAAAAATTAATTAAAAAAAATTATAGTTAGTCGATGATTTTGAAATTTGATATAAGAGCCTAGATGTTGATTCTAAACAATTTTTCTTAATAACTTTTTGTCGTATTTGCCACATACAAAGGACCTTCAACAGAAAAAATAATTTTTGAAAACTTTTAAGGCATACTCTATTTTTCAAAACTAAAATTGTGTTAGAAATTAGTCTGTAGATGACATTTTAGACAAAAAAATAAACGTAGCTTTATTCTTTTATTTAACATATTTTATTTAAAATACAGAGTATCTAGAAAGTTAATAATGTTTAAAATAGGTCAGAGAAAAAAAGTGTAAAACATATTTTTTTCTTGATTGTTTTATTAATAGAAAAATTATTCATAATGCAAAATTATCATTAAGAGTAGTGAACACTGATGTCCGAACGCAAATTTTTGCAATTGAAAATAATATTTATTGCAACTTAATTTTGTTTGTAAATTTAATTAGCGTTTATGTATTAACGAAAATGTGGTAATTATCTTAATTATTATTAATTGCTTTTTTAACAAACGTATTACCAGATAAACATAATTCATTCAGTTAAAGCATTTTTTGTTGTTACTTATTCCATTTTTTTTTTATTTTTTTTATCATAACCATCGAATAAGTGGCAATTCTATGATATTGTACAATTGAATTTCTAATGGCTTTGAAATTAAGTTGGCAATATTGAGAAACAGAGAGCCAGAGGATATAAAATTGTCAATGTTGCCAACGTAATTCAAAGTTACAGGTCACTTTGATCCGAAATTTAATTGAAAGCGTGGTATTCAGGTAAGAGACAAGCAAGAAACGGTGGCAATAACAGGTCGTACTTTACGTTGATCATCGCAGATAGCATTAAGCGAGAATATATGCTTTATCACGTCGTAATTTCCGAATAAACGAAGCCAATAACAGAATATAAAGCAGGCCGTGGGCAAGCACACGTTTCATCCGACGCTAAGCGACGCCCAGCGCCTCAAACACTGTCTAGATTTGCATTTCGTCCTTTGTCGCTGTAACTCTACCAATTATGCTTCGGCTGTGAAGGGCTAAACTAAAACATTTCAAGGCTGTTTTCATTTCTTTCTAACATAATGAAATGGAAAGAGATGATTAAAGAGACGCCTCTCGCGCTAAGAACGACCTGCTGTTAACTGTTTTATTTTGCGTCTTTGTGTCGACCACACGGTGTGGAAATTATTTTTAAGGGTTTTACTCTACCACAAAGCTTTGTCAAATTTGAATGAGTAATAACCAGAGGAAGTTTTCAAGTTGTTTGCTGAGGTCTTTGTAGTTTAGACTGGCGGCAACTTTTTTGATGTTCGCTGCGCTGCAAAATAATCTCATCAACTTGAATTATTTTCAACAAAATTATTCTAAATCTTATTCCCTCGCTTTTGAATTAACTTTCTTATTTGGCAAAATAATTAGAACGGTTCTGTTTTTTATTTTTTATTATTGACGATATGAAGTAATGTGAGGTGAAGGTTATGCCAGTGACTATAAAATTGTGACATATGAATTTCAGATTTTTTAATTGAAAACCGCTATAAGGCAAATATTCAGACATTGCTCCTCCATATAAGTTTGTGGCGTTGAAAATAGATACATTATTAAGGAAGTTGGTTTAAAAAAACTATAATTTCGTAAAAATGTATTAATTTGCTATTGTTTAGCATTTTCAACATTGTTAAAAATTAATACAGGGTGTTCCAACGAGTTGAAAAAGTCCATTAGTGATCATTAAATGGTAAAATTAAAAAAATATATATATAGGATATTGACAGATACTAATCTCGTCCATTGCTTAAAATTATTTTTAACTATACAGCGTGTCTCAAAAATAAGATACAATACAAACTTGTGTTTTTTTTAATGAAACACCAGCGTTTTTGGATGTAGATTTTTATGACAATGTTTTTAAGCTACACTTTTATTGGTTGATTTTGCTTAGCTTTAAAAATAATACGGTTTTTTTGACGAAAACATGCACTTTTTAAAAATTTATTACACAAAAACTAAGATATCTAGAAATATTTTTTACTACCACAAAGAAGAAGGTACAAGCTATAAGGTTGTAACATTTTTTTAGTGTGTTGCATTTGCAAAGATAAAAAAATAAGGCGTTCTTTAAAAGTTTTAAAAAAATTTTTTTAAGGAACACCCTATTTATTGTTTTTGCATTTAAAAGATTCTTTTTCTAATTTATTTACTTTCAGGTGTTTATAATCAATAACTAAAAAGATATTTAACGTTAAACATTAAAAAAAATAATTACTTTTGTTTCAAAGTTGCACAGTTGCGCAAGATATGGAAGAAATATCAGTTAATAATCACATTTGTGTTAAACTGAATCCATTATTTTTTATTTTCACAATAAAATAATTTGAATTTCAGTATTTATAACAACTTTTACAATTTCTGGATAAATCAACGTATAACTGATCCGTGGTGGAATTACTATGGTTGCCATAGTATCAACAATACTCAGATATTGATAGGTATTGTTGCCACAAATAATATTAAATGTTAAATAACTTTTTATTTATTATTTCTAGACATTAAAAGTTTATTTTTTAGAGAGACAATTTATCAATCTATTAGATGCAAAAATAAAAAATATGGTGTTTCAGTTAATTTTTTTAAATTATTTAATTTTTAACAAACTTCTTAATTTATTAATCTTTACAAATGCAAAACACTAAAAAATTGCTACAGCTTTAAATTTTGTACTTTCTTCTTTGCAGAAGTAAGAAAAATATTGTTCTAGCTGTCTTAGTTTTTGTGTAATAAATTTTTAAAAAGTGCATGTTTTCGTTAAAAAAAACGTTTAATTTCTAAAAGTAAGCAAAATTGACTTATAAAAATTTAGCGTAAAAACATTGTTTTAAAAAGCGACATCCAAAAATGCAAAGAAACATACAGTGTTTCATTTAAAAAAACACAAGTTTGTATTGTAACTTATTTTTGGGACAAGCTGTATAGTTGAAAATAATTTTAGGTGATGCACTAGTTTAGTACCTACAGGGTTATTCATAAATATGAAGCAATATTTGAACCTCAAAAATGACCTATAAAATTATGTTAATTTAAATAATAACTCGTGTCCTATCTCTACTGATAAGAATTTTACAGCCCTTGGAATGTGGGTATGGAAATTTGATTTTTTTGTAATAACTTTGGAACTATTTGACCAAATATTATAAAATTTGGAACATTTTCTTGTGACAACATACCCTTTGAACTGGTAATCACGAAAACCGGATACATCTACTCAATTTCCGGTTCCAGCAGTTGCAGGTCACATTTTCTGTGTTTTTCCATTTTTTTGCTCTCTTAACACCAATTTTTTATTGCCCAAATAGATAGAGTAATCAATTTCGAATAAAAAACGCATACCTTTAATATCCCTAAAATGGACAGTTTCAAAGATATTTTAATTTAAGCTGAGGAGTGCACAACGCTGAAATTAAAAAATAGGGATTTTGAATAAATGTTATCCACGGCAACAAATGACCACGGTCCCACAAATCGCTGTCAGGCATCTGTCAACTTTGACATTGGACGATTCTTGGGCGATTAATTGAAAATATTTAATAAAAGAGTTTACTTCAGACTCCAAACGTAATCTACAATAAATCCAAATCGATCTCGTGGCATTTAATTTATAAAAAATTCACAAAAATTTATCGTCAAAGTTAACAGATGCTTGGTAGGGATTTATGTGACCATGGTCATTGGTTGCCGTAGATACCACTTATTCAAAAACCCTATTTTTTGATTTCAGCGTTGTGCAGTCCTCAGATTAAATTAAAATATCTTTGATACGGTCCATTTTAGGGGTATTAAAGGTTATGCATTTTTTATTCGAAATTGATCTCTCTATCTTTTTGGGCAATAAAAAATTGGCGTTAAGAGAACAAAAAAAATGGAAAAACACAGAAAATGTGACCTGCAACTGCTGTAACCGGAAATTGAGTGGATGTATCCGGTTTTCGTGATTACCAGTTCAAAGGGTATGTTGTTACAAGAAAATGTTCCAAATTTTATAATATTTGGTCAAATAGTTCCAAAGTTATTACAAAAAAATCAAATTTCCATACCCACATTCCGAGGGCTGTAAAATTTTTATCAGTAGAGATAGGACACGAGTTATTATTTAAATTAACATCATTTTATAGGTCATTTTTGAGGTTCAAATATTGCTTCATATTTATGAATAACCCTGTATAAATGTCCTATACAATTTTTTTAAATTTTATCATTTAAAGGTCAGTAATGGTCTTTTTCAACTCGCTGGGACACCCTGTAGGTATATCAATTTAATAATTTAATTTTAGTGATTTTTAATTTTTTTTGCCAAATTAAGATGTGACAACAAAAATGACAGTAATTTAGTGCTAAGCTAATTTCTGTCTCCACATTATTCAACGTTGCCATCTTAACTTCAAAGTCACAACCCACTTTGACCAGCTAAAAATCTTCTCGTTTTCACCGGCCCGTTATTTATCTCTCGAATATCGACAATGTCTGTCGTAATCAGGTGCTGTCTGTCAATGTCATTATGTAAACAGGGCTTGTCGTAAAAGCAGTTAGCTCAGTTGCGAGCCGCGCTATTGCCGAGGGTGGAAGAGCAAAGCAGGCGTTGGCTGTAACAAACAGCTATAGCCGGGATTTAGAAGACGCTGATTAATGGGATTCAAAGCTGGTTAATTCCCACCAAACGCTCTGCCAAAACTCCCGGGAAGCGACATTAGACGGTGATGGCGTTACCGCCTTCACAACCCCACACGACCACCGTCTCAACGCTTCCACCCAAAATCGCATGCGTATTACACTGCTGTAATTTACAATCTTGAATAGATGGCTATGAAACGGTCATGGAGTCCCGCGATTTGCCCCAATGAAATTGTTTTTGATGCTCTTCTCAGCGCCGGCTGGATTAGTCAACATCAATCTCTTCCTTGGGCCGAAAGCGACGCTTTTTCTCCCGGTTTTTGCTCAGCAATATAAAAAATTAATAGCAATTTTCATATTTACAAGATTTTTAGTAAAAAAGCCTTGTTTCTAATTACTGTAAAGCACTTAAACATTGCATACATACATATCTAAATTCTCCAAGTATATTTTCTAAGTTCTTTTAAAAATGACGCAAAAAAAATTTTATTATTAATTCTTAAGTTCTGATGGTTTCAGAAAAAATACTTTTATAAAAATTAATTCTTACAGCAGAATACCTCTTTTTAAAAAAATAATTTTAACTGTAAAACAGGTTGTCAGATTGCCACAAGATTTTTTGCACAGTTATTTAGAGTCACCCGGTATAAGAACATTAATATCTTATATTTTTTATAAATCAAGCTGATTGTGCTTCTAGAGAAGAAAATTTAAGATTTTTATAATTAATAATCTGCTCCAAATACCTAATTAGGTTTTATGTTTCGTTAGAACAAGAAAAAGTGGAAGACAAAAAATTGTGGTATTTTTTATGTTTTTTGCTAAAATGTGTGTTTTATCGGCGCTTGTTTTTGGTGGAAATTGGTAGAATTCTGCAGGACGAACTTTTGCGATAAATTCCCTCGACTATTCAGTATGCAGGAGGCGCAAGTGTTGAAGAACTTCGCAGTTTCGGTAATGTTCATCGAGAGCTTTCTCACTTCTCCCAGGACTCGCTTTCCTAACTTTCATCCTTTACCCCACACCATCCAAACCCCACTCTCTCGCTCTCGATAATTTAATAATACTTTGGAAATTTGGATCGTTCCACAACGAATTCGATATTTTCAACTTACCGTCTTTGTTCATCCCCATGGCCAAGCATTTTTTCAGACGGCAAGCTTGACACTGATTTCGGTGGGCTTTGTCCACGATGCAGCGACCGGTTCCGGCTTGACATCTATAAAAAATCATTCAAAAAACTTMTTTACAARTTAAATAATGTCTCAGATGTTTATTAGATTCACAGCAAATGGGATAACTGAAGTGGGGGTTAYATAAAAGAGGAGATTAATGAGGCAAAGGCAAAAGGGCAGAATAGTCACCGTCGGAAACTAACTATTGCCGCTTGGTGGTGGTGTGCACCTGAGCCCACTTTGGGCTGCTTAAGCGCAACCACCCCTGCAACCGCCTCTATGGATTCCTGCATGCTTTATTGATCTTTAGATGAGAGCAAAGTCATAACATACAAACAAAATTGATTTTACTCGTTTTGGTAAAATTACTTTTAAAATGATGAAAAATGAATTGTAATGACTGTAGAGACCGAATTTTATGTAAAATGCCTTTTTGATTTCGTGGACGGGACCTAAAATTTTAAACGTTGCGAGTTGAAAAAAAATATATAGGACATTGATAGATACTGATCTAGTCCATCGCCTAAAATTATTTTCAACTAAACAGCGTGTCTCAAAATTAAGTTAGAATACAAACTTGTGTTTTTTTAAATGAAACACCTTATGTTTCTTAGCGTTTTCGGATGTAGATTTTTATGACGATGTTTTTAAGCTAAACTTTTATTGGTCGATTTTGCTTAGTTTTAAAAATAAGACGTTTTTTTGACAAAAACTAAGACATCTAGAAATATTTTTTTTACTACCGCAAAGAAGAAGGTACAAGCTATAAGGTTGTAACATTTTTTTAGTGTGTTGCATTTGCAAAGATAAAAAAATGAAGGCGTTTGTTAAAAGTTCAATAACTTAAAAAAATTAAATGGAACACCCTATTTATTGTTTTTTCATTTAAAAGATTATTAAATTGTTTTTCTAAAATTATTTACTTTTGAGTGTTTGTAATCAATAACTAAAAACATGTTTAACGTTAAACATTAAAAAATATAATTACTATTGTTTTAGTAGCCAAAAAGTGCACACTTGCACAAGAGATGGAAGGAATATCATTTAATAATCACATTTGTCTTAAGCTGAATCTATTATTCTTTATTTTTACAATAAAATATTTCGAATTTCAGCATTTATAACAACTTTTACAATCACTGGATAAATCAACGGATAAGTGATTCGTGGTGGAATTAGTTGCCATATTATCAACAATGCTCAGATATTGACAGGCATTGTTGCTACAATTAATTTTGAATGTTAAATATCTTCTCATTTATCTATTCTAGACATAAAAGTAATTTTTTAGAAAGACAATTTAGATGCAAAAATAAAAAATAGAGTGTTATACAGGGTGATGAAAAAAAGGCGCCAACGATTGAAACAGTAGCGTCCTTTTTTATAGAAACATTGTGACCATCATTCCAAAAATAGTCTAAATAGATTCTTTTTAAAATTTAAACAGTTTGTCTAACAGCACAAAGCGGCAATATTGCACAAATTTCTTTTACTAAAAAACTATTTCACTCAGGTATTTTTCTTATCTAGGAAACCTTTTTGACTTTAATCGTTTAAATTTCACAGAACAAACAACATTGAAAATTGATTTTTTTGTTGCTACCGTTTCCAATAATTGAATATTACTTGGACATTTTCTGTATCCTAGGATATTTGCAATATTGCAACATTGATAAATTTTCTTTGGAGCCAAGAAATGGTATCCAAACATCTTCAATAAAGTTTATTTCAATAGACTTTTTACACTTTTTTTTAAGAACACCGTCAACAGTATCAAAATCTAGACTTTAACAATGAAATTATTTTAAAACTGTTAATTATATAGATTTCTCTTTTCTAAAAAGGAAAGTCTATATCTTACTGATAAGAGCACAAATCCAATTTTGGTCTTCGAATTCGTCTTTAATAAAAGATCACTTATAACGTGTGGGTTAACACGGGCGTCTTTTTTTCATCATACTGTATTTAAATTTAAAAAAATTTAAATTTAAGTTATTCAACTTTCAATAAACTTATTATAATAAATTTATTGATCTTTACAAATGCAAAACACTAAAAAATTGCTACAGCTTTAAATTCTGTACTTTCTTCTTTGCAGAAGTAAGAAAAAAATTGTTCTAGCTTTCTTAGTTTTTGAGTAATGAATTTTTAAAAGGTGGATGTTTTCTTCAAAAAAAAACTTATTTCTAAAACTAAGCGAAATCAACTAATAAGTTTAGAGTAAAAATATTGTTTTAAAAGACTACATCCAAAAACGGTAAGAAACATGGTGTTTCAGTGAAAAAAACAAAAGTTTGTATCGTAACTTATTTTTGGAACAAGCTGTATGGTTGAAAATAATTTTAGGTAATGTCCTAGCTTAGTATCTATTAAGTCCTATAGAATTTTTTTAAATTTTACTATTTAAAGGTCACTAATGGACTTTTTCAACTCACTGGAACACCCTGTATAAACAAAATTAATTTTTATCTGTTTTGGTAGAATTACTTTTATTCAATTCTCTATGATAAAATTGAATTTTATCTACTGTTTTCTTCATGTTAAAATGAAATTTTCTCGTCTAGATGATAAAAAAAATACATCCATTGTTGTATATCTGAGGTTGTTAGTTGCTAACAATCTTTGACATTACATTTCATTGTTGAATTTTACTTTGACATTTATAAATATCGACAAATTGACTATTTTTACAAAATTAGTGAGGATTGAATAAAATTTTATATTGTACACAACGATTAAATTTTCATTATCTTTTCATTCAATTTTATCGTCTTGTATAATAAATAACAATTAAAATGATAAAAAATTAATAAATGATGTGTAATAACTATAGAGACCGGATTTTACTTAAAATGCCTTTTTGATTCTATTTAAGGTTCGTGGACGGGACCTAAAGTTTTATACGTTTAAATGAAATACAACTTTTTCATATTTTTTAAACACATGTTTTTTTTTAAATTTATTTCAGGATTTTGTTATTGCTTTTCTGTCACTTTATATTTTTTTTTTCTTTTAAGTAAGTCAAACTTACTATTTTGATTTTACAGTCGCAACTGGAACTGAAAAATGCGATAAAAACCATATTGTTAAGTATTTTATTTGTATAGCTTGTTCCAAATCTGGTGGCAAACTGACGTCAAAAATTTTGACACTAAACATACGTTTACTATTAGAAAAATATTGTTCATAGTCGTATGAAATAATATTTCAAAACCACTGTTATTCTTTAAAAAATTATAATAAGTAGGTACTCGTACATAAGATGAAGAATGATGAACAAATTATTAAATTGTTAAAATTAAAATGATATTCCTAACAATCCTTGTCTTCAAAATTTTTAGAGAAAAAAAGTACGCTTATGTATTTTTTTATCTTAAGTAAGTGGGCGCACTCCAAGTGTCTTTTCTGTCACTGTCAGTTCGCTACCAGATATGGAATAAGCTCTAACAATATTGTTTTTGTGTAAAAATGAGAGAAAACAAAGATGTTCAATAAATCAATTAATCCTGGTATAAAAATGTGTCAGTGATTGTAGTAATAATGCATGATTTTGTTTCTGTACAGCATAGTATCGATTAGGCAGCAAGCGAACGCGATTTCTGTAACCAGATTAGAGCACAAAGGCCGCAGCACGAGACCGATACAGCGCACGGATTACAGGTTCCCTAATTGATTGCGGTTCACACTCGTCCACTCTCCACTCCATGGACGCACTCCCCTACATCCCATCCCATCCTCTGTTCGACTTCAATCATAATGAAATACGCGTTATGTTGTCGTGTCATATATTGAAACTCATTTACTCAATGCGCCATAGCGGGATTTTTAAAGGATTTATTAGCGAAGCGAGATAAACGCCACAACGATTCTCGTTTTCAACAAATTCGAAACGTTATTAAAAAATAATACGACGCCGAAACAATCCCGACGATTAGTACGTTGCATGATTACGGTGTGCGGGGGGGCGTTTTATGTTTATGGCTTAAAAGACCAGAGCAGGTTTGCCAAAATCCCATTTGATCTAAAGCAAATAAAAATGCGAGCTTTAGCAAGGGTTTTCTTTTCAATAAAAATATTGCTTATTACTAGAGAGCGGATTTTAAGACGTTAGAAAATGCAAAAAAGGATCCGAAAAAAAAACAGTAAAAACGTAAAATTCTAGAGAATACACGTTTTTTAATTTATAGTATCTCAGATAATAATAAATGTGTTATAAAAATTTAAGTCTCCGAATTGTGTTTGCAAAAGTAAAAAAAAATGTATCATTGATTTTACACCAAAACTTTAAAAAAAATCACACATACAAATCTGTAACTAAAACTTCATTATTCTGACTTACGATCGTGATTCTAATTCAGTGTTAAGAGAAGTCAAGAAATCAAGAGAAAAATGAACTTTTATTGAGTCAGAATAATAATAAAGTTTTAATTAATTACAAATTTGCGGGTTTTAGGTTAAGCAAAAATGTTATTCCTTTGCAGTTTTGGCCCAAAATTTAAAAAAAATTCTCTTAAAAACACAAACCAGGTAGAGTTTTTATATTAGAAATAACGGTTGTTTTTTTTAAATTCCGCGTCAAAGCCATCTTTGAAAGTTCGATTCTATTGAAAGTTATTAATCTGGCATTTGACACCTCACCGGGCGTATTAAAAATTGTGGTCTGTTTATAATACACTTATATTACTATTAACGAACTTTAACGCTTAATGTAAATAAACACTTTTTATATATTAGAAATTGCCACCTAAGAGATTTTGGTTTATTTACAAATAAATAAAAAGAATTTTTAAAACAGAATTGGTGGATGCGCCGGGTTACAATATTTTAAAATTTGTTAGTTAAAGTGAATTTTAATAAATATTGAGTAAATTTTTTATTTTTACTATATGTGATTAATTATATCTTAAGAAATTTAGGTCAAAGTGACATTTCAAAAAGTGTAGTGGTCATAAAATCTTTAACTTAAATCTGTTTTGCTTTTGAAGTACTTACATGGTTTTTTATTTTGTTTGATTTGTTTTAGTAGTTTATTAACCTTTTAAAT